CTTATACATCAGTGGACACTTGGGTTGCTTCCACCTCTTGCCTATTGTGAATAATGCTTTTATGAACATGGGTGTACAACTATCTCTTCAAATATCTGCTTTCGTTTTGTTTGGGTATATACCCTGAAGTGGAATTGCTGAATTCTATGGTAATCTTTTTTTAATATTTTTTTCTTTGTTTTTTGGAGAGTAGTTTTATTAGCTCGGGATATAATGGGATCATCACTAGGAGGGCAGGGTATTCCACTGGTTACCATGTGCAGCTGTCTGGGGAGCACAATAAAATTCAGTCCAGGGTTCTGTGCTGGGGAGCAGGGCCTTAAAAAGAAGGCAAATTGTCCAGGGAAGTAGTAGCTGTGAGAGTCATGGCTGGCCTGCTCCACTGTACTGCACTGAATCTCCTGGTGCTTTTCAGGCTCCTGTCCATCTTGCATCTGTATGGGGCAATGGACCGTCTGGCCTAAAATTTTATCCTCAAGTTTGATGTAGGCCAGGCATTTCTGCTTCTTTCCACTGGACTTGACTTTGCACTCAGGATTCTTCTTCCAGAAACTTGTATACTGGAGCTTAAATTCTAGCCTCACAAAGGTTCCTGCTGGGAAGAGTGTATCCATAGCACTGCTCATATTGGTCTCCCTGAAGCCTCACTGCATAAGTGGATGCTTATGGAATTTCCCCAGGGCACCTGCAGGCCCTGCTCCTAGGCCCTTAGGAGCTCAGCCCTGCCTAATCCCATGGTGCCCAGCCATAGGGCCAGCAGGATCAGCAGCTACTGCATGGGTTTCCCTCAGTCACCCTGGACCTTCCTTCCTGCGCCTTCAAGAAATTTCCTAACCTTCACCGTGGCTAAATCTTGGCCTCAGCTGTCAGTCTCTTCCTGGTCTCCTCCCCACATCCCTGCCCCGATGTTCTTTCCTACTGTGGGGGCCTATTTTCACTTATGTACTTATTTTCTCCCTGGAATTATAAACCCTGTTGATAGATTGTAACATCCTTAAAGCCAGCAAAGATAAACATGTTTCTATCTTCATGATAATCAGTTATTATTTGGTCTACAATACAACGTAACATTTTTTAAATGTATTTTCAGCCTTACTGTAAGAAACAGTCCAATGGGAACTTATAGTTGTGTTTATCAAAAGAGTTTGTTGAAGGTGTTGTTTATTACATTACACAAGGATTTCTTCCCACAAGAAATCATTTTTGCTGACTTTAGTGTCAAAAATGGATGGGCATGTTTGAGGTGATGGATATTCCAATTACCCTGTTTTGATCATTATACTTCACATGAATGTATCAGAATATCACATGTATCTCATAAGTATATACAATTATTATATATCAATTTAAGAAAAAACTGGATGGACTTCTCTGAGAAACTGGCTTGCTGTTATCTAATGAATGTTTTAAACTATTAGTATTTTTCATTTGTATGAATTTTTTATATTTTCATTATTCTGGCTCCAACTTTATGACTAACCGTATTTTCCTCTAACCATATTTTTCTCATCTACTTTCAATTTGTATTGCCCTCCTGAATTGTGTGTGTGTAAACAATATACTTAAATGCCTTTTCATGCAAAGCATAATTTAAATAAATACATATTAAACAAAGACCTTAAAGTTTTAAATGGAAAATAGAAAAACATTTTTGGTATAATGACTTTTGGTATGGTACAAACAAACAGTCTAGAGGTTTGGAAACCATCCTTTCCATTCCTTCCTCACTCCTAATTCTGCATAGTCTTTAAGAGCATGGATTTAGAGTCAGATGGACTTGGGTTTAGACCTTGCCTTACCATTTATAAGCTATGGGATCCCAGGCATGGTCCCTAAATTTAAATTTTTTTATCTGTAAAATCAAGATAATGATATACAGTTCATAAATAATAGAAGGTATTACTATTATTCAGCATCAGTTCTTCTATATAGAATTGATATAAAACTTTTGAAAGTGTAGCCTTTTTCAAAATAAATTAGGACAGAGTAAATGAGAACAGTCCCAGAAGAAAATTATCCTTCCTTTTAAAATTTTATTTGGTTTCCTTGAGAATCCTTGTGAAAACAAATCATATACCACTTGTTATAGAGCAACTACTTGCTTGTAGGAGGATGACTGTTAAGGATGCCTTTGAAGAACATAAAGAACAGGGGTTTCTCAGGTCAACATGTATTATATTGGTTTCAGTAGTATCTAAAAACTATTTGCAACGTTTCCCCTTTCATTCATTCAAATGCAACTTCAGATTGAATGCCATCTGGGTACTCTACACAGTATTGAATTCATCAAGAGTATGCTAGCATGGACTTTAGTCCTTGGTAGTTTTAATTTTTTTTTCTGGTAGGTCTAGAAGAGTGTGATTTCATTAGCCAATGTTCTATGTTATTCTTCTTTTTCATTTTAATAATTGTACGTTTCTATCTCCATTTACTCATTTATTTTTGCAAGGGTATGAATCCACTTTATTGTTGAGATGTGTTTTGTTTTTGTTTTTGTTTTTTTTGGTCTTGAGATGATGTGATATTGTCAAAGTAGGTTAGATTTTGGATCCTCTGGGACCAGGTTTCAATTCTTGGTTTTCCTGTCAGTTACTTACTGTGTACACTTAGAGAGTTACCTAGTCTCACTAACCTTTAGTTTCTTCACTTCTGAAATTGGTATAACAGTAGTCTCTTTGACACTACTTGGCGTCTCTCTGTTTACTCCCATCCTCACCATTATCCTATAATCTTCTAAAGGAATATTCTACATGCAAGGCCTTCACTTTCTCATTTCCCAGTCACTGCTCAATCCCGTAGTCTGTCTGGCTTCTCTTTGCATTATTCTAATACTGTTCTGGCTAAAATCATTGATAATCTCTTAATTCTCAGAGTGCTTTAGTCCTTATCTTACTAGAATGCTGTGCTGCATTTAACACTTGTCTGTCATGCCTTCCTTATTATTACCTTGTCCTCTGATCCATTTTTGTTTTCATTCTTAGATGCTGCTTTGTCTGATCAACCCTCAAGTTTTATGGACCACTGTACCTTTCACCCTAAACAGTTGAGGGAGATTGGTTCCAGGAACCCCCACAGATACCAAACTCTGCAAATGCTCATGTCCCTTATATAAAATGGTATGGTATTTGGATATAACCTATGAAATCCTCCTGTCTACTTTAAATAATCTCTAGGTTACATATAATACCTAATACAAGTACTGCATTCCTTGAGGTCTGTGTCTTATTTACCCTTTTATCTCCAGCATTCACAGCAGTGTCTGACAAATAATTCCTTCATTTTTCCCCTTGTTCCTGACTTTGGAGTCTTCCTTTTAAAATATAAATCCTGTTTGGCTATGTGGCACTGTAATTAGTACCAACTCCATTTAGGTATTCAGCACATATTTGTAATGGTATCAATTTACATGTTTATTTTATTTACAAGTATCTCAGTGAACTCTCACACAGATCCATAATGTTGTCTTATAGTTATTAGGCAGGGAGTCCCTCATCTTACTCACAGACTGTTAATCTACCTGCATCTACATCCTGCATCTACCTGCTCCTTCCCTCCTTTTTCAATAGAGATGTACAGTTCTTATCGACATTTAAATATCTTCAAGTCTTAGCATCTTTAAGAAAGAAAAACAAACTCGATATCCTCTTATTTTTTTCTTCTCTTATGTAGCCTGACTGCTTTGAAGATTCCTCAACTCATTCGGTGCTGGCTTATTGCCATCACTGTGAAAACAACTCTCAGGAATGTCACTAGTGACTTTCACGTTGCTATATCCAGTGAGAACAATTCAGCCCTCAGCAGTATACACATACTAATGGAGAATGAAAGAAAAAGCAGGTTGTATAGAGAGGCTACAAAGTAATTCTAGTTACTTTAAGGAAGTTTGAGAATATAGTAAAGACATCTGTGGCCTTATACTAGACCCTGTCAGGAATCACAGTGCTTTTAGGACTGACTCATTTTCTTTCTCAATGGCTACATAATCTCTCTGTTTGGAAATTTGACTTTCTTTTGTACATCTTTTCTAATTTCGTCTCTGTTTTTTTCTATTTTTTTATAATTTCTGCTCCTCCATAACTTCAGCTGGAGTGTAGCCCATTATAACCTCTGGTCTCCCTCCTTGACACAATGAGGACCTCTTAGTTTCAGCTAATTGCCTCATTTTCTTGGTATTCTTTACTTAAATTTCTAGAGCGTTAGTTTTGTTAGTCCAGTTCATCATTTGTATCAAGCCACTTCACAGATGATTGAAACCGACTCAATCTATAGCCTAGCCAATCATGTATGAATTGCCCCGTGTAATCCTGATTTCTACTTTTAGATTTGAGTAAAATCCAAATTATAATGGATTAAGGAATGCATCACAGGTGAGGAAATAAGGGTAAGGGCTTGAATCCAAAGAGGGTGACAGACTAGTGAGGAGCACACATGATCAGTGAAATCAAAATAAGGATTTTGTGTTTTGTTTTAAGATGGCAGAGATTTGAACATAGAATGAGTCAATTAATAGGAAATAGTTGAAACAAAGAGAATTTAATTTTTTTAGTTACTGAAGTCATCTTAAGGTGGCAGGAGATGGGACTACAGAGTACAGATAGACAGATTAGCTTTAAATAGGAAAGACACCTCTTCCTCTGAAGTGGGGTTTAAATAAGAAAGAAAGAAGGTGATGCACATAAATTTAAAAATAGGGGAACCTGCCTGTTGGCATACTTTATGAAATAGTCAGCAAGGAGAACTGCACAGACGTGAGATAAAGATTTCCAGTACGTGCTGAGGAAAATCAACTAGGTACCTGACAACTATGAGTATGATGAAGTGATTTTCTTTTTCACCATAGCCCATATGTAGGTTAAGAAAGGGTGAAGGATTTGGCTAGTTCAGAGTTAAAATGGACTTAATTTGTGACATGGTAGCACTAATGCTTGCTTCTCCCACCCTTCACGTTTGTTTGGTTTGACCATGTTTTCATTGTGGTCTTTCATACTTTTATTTTGTAGGTCTTGATGACTGTTTGCAGCAGTATATTAAGAACTTTGAGAGGGAGAAGATCAGTGGGGACCAGCTGCTGCGCATTACACATCAGGAGCTAGAAGATCTGGGGGTCAGCCGCATTGGTCATCAGGAACTGATCTTGGAAGCAGTTGACCTTCTGTGTGCATTGGTAAGGACATAAAACTGGTGAAGAGGGAAACTTCCCTTTTCTTCTTTTGTTGCTTTTCCCTTTTTTCTTCTCTTCTTTTGATAATTGAAATGCAAATAGAAGAAAAAAACCCTGATTCTCAACCAACTGGACCTGATATTTTCTTCCTTCCTTAAATTTTTATTATGTTAGTGCCAAATAACCGTTCCCTGTTTGTAACATCTTTTATAACAGTAAGAGTTGGGTATATCAAAACCTTAAGTCCAGAGTGTATGTCTCATAAACAGGACTCTTCATAGATGAACCACTCATGTGCTAGGCTCTCACACTTTGAGAAAGGAAAGAATATTGATGGTTGACAGTGTTATATACATACAGTCTAGACATTTGAAGTTTGACCTATGAACAAGGCTCTGCTGACCTAAACCTACTTAAAAGCATGGCATCAGAAATAGATGTCTAGACCACTTCTAAGTTTGAACCATGTAGCTGTGTTGAATCCTTTCAGATGCTGAGCTTTAATCCCTGTACAGTTCTGGGTTTAAGCACCAGGTTTAAAGTCATGTCATTTGGATGCTTCATTATGTGATTGAGCTCTTCTGGAAGTTAACGTGGAAAATAAATTTAAACATCAACTTTTTTTTTCTGTTTATTGAGCAGTTCCTTAGTTGCAGTCCCCAAAGAAGTCAAATGTTAAACTTCCTTCTTACCCCTTCCTAATGTAATGGATATACATCAACAAGTCAGAAGTACAGATACATTTCAGTTTATGCAACAGATACTTTCTGGGGAATATAAAGCAAATTTCTGGGTCGTGAATTCTGATTTTCTTCTACATACCATTATGAAATCAGGAGGTGAGATTCCTTATCAGCAAGCTGAGTTGACTAGTCCAGGAAATTGTACTATTGGGACTGTATCTTTACCTCCTTCCCCTCTGTCCCCAACTGCTCTTCGAATTTTGGTTTACCCTGCTAAGTCTTGTCTCTCTGATCTTCACTGGCCATTCTACATTTTCCTTATGTCTACTGTATTCTTTTCTTTTTCAACAATTACATATTCCTGCTCAAACAGTGCTATCACTGGGAATGCAAAGATGAAAAAGACACAGTCTGTACTCCTAAAATATATACAGTCCATTAAGAAAGACAATAGCCATTAGAAGACAACATAGATTTAAAGAAAATTCCAGGGGAGTGTAGAAGGAAATGAACTCTTCTGAGGGATTCAGAAAGTGTAGGTAACGTATGCATTTGGTCTTACAAGATGATTAGATGTTTGCCAGACAAAAAGTTGGAGAAAAGTTATCTAGGCAGAAGAAATATCATGTGTAAAAACAGAATTGTGAAAGAATATGGAATATTCAGAGAAAATTGAGAATTGTCATTTAGTTTGTGCAGAATGGGAAATGATGAGAAAAAAAAGGTAACACCTTACACCTTGTATCACATTACAATTCTTTGCTTAGGTTCTTTTATCCTTTAATTCATGTTGGACTCCTCAAAGGAAGACACCTTTGTTTAGTTCATATTTTTTATTTAGCTTTCTGCCCAGTGCTAAGCTCATAAAAGATGTTAAATTAATGTTATCTTACTGAATTAAACTCTCTTGTCTTTCTTCAAAGAACCGTAATTTTTCTCTTGCCTACACAGCCTTTGACTTTGAGGTTTCTGTTCCTCATATAAGGAAGACATAGAAAAATTAGCAGATTCCTTTTGTTTCTTTAAGCTATACTGTATTTTCATCTACCTTGTCTTGAAGTTATTCCTTATGTGCATAAATGTTTATGGCAGTTGATGAGAATCAAAGGTTTATTTAGTCACTTACTTATTCATGCAACATATATTTATTAAGCATCAGATATATTGTTTGCATCATGTCATTCTAGAAAGAAGTAAGCTGTTCATGATTTGGAGGTGTAATAATATTTCAAGCTATTAAGCTATCATTTAGTATGCTTCAATAGAGAGCAAAGAATATTAACTGAAAGAGTAAAAACATAAATAAAATATATATATATAGCTTAATGTATGGGCCTTGATTTGTGTTCTGACAATACACTTTTTATTAGAAACTGTAAATAAATCATTTATGACAGGGTAAGAACAGTTTTCATTTCATTTTTCATGTACTTATAATTTCAGGCATTTTGCATGAAAGATTTGATGTTTGCAATTGCTGGGATTTGTTTCTTTGCAACATAATTGCTTGGTTCATTCATCTTAAAGTAATTTATTTTCCAAAAAAATTCATTAAAGCAAGCCTTTTAAGACTCACTCATATTTATAAAGCAATGTATTATAAAGCTAAAAACCTGCTACACGATGCATTTAAATTAAGAACTCTACAAACCTGCACATTATGCACATGTACCCTAGAACTTGAAGTATAATAATAATAATAATAATAATAAAGAAAATGTAGCACATATGCACCATGGAATACTATGCAGCCATAAAAAAAAAGAACTCTGAATAAAATGGCATTGACATTGTGAAATATGTGGTGCCAATATTAAGTATTTCTAGTTAAGTGGTTAGTGAAATTTTGCCACTGGTGAGGATATAGCTGACATTACTTTTTCTAAAATGTTAAATGCGTATGTTTATTTCTTTCAAATGCTTTTGCATGCATATGATTGAAAGAGAAGGCTGATATGAACTTAGCACAAATTCATTAAGACTTAAATGGCTGTGTTCGATCAGTTCTAAGTCGCTACTGGTTCTGGCACATGGTAATGGCCAAGTATATGAACGAATAAGTAACATATACGACAAACACAGCAGCTAAGTACATTTCATGTCTAAGTTTTTGTTTTCTTGAGGTAGTCCTTTTTATACTAATAGTAATACCAAGTTTTGCTATGCATATCCAATAAAAAGCAAATCTGTAGTGAATAAACCTGCATTTTTAAAAAGTTGATGCAGTGCCCTCCGTACCCCTGGCCTAAAGGGAAAGGTGCTTGATTTATTTGTCGATTCTTTAAATGGTAGGTAACAGTGTGTGATGTACTGGTGACTTACCAAGTCACAACAAACCATCCACTTACATGAAAGAAATTGCCAGAAGGTATCTGTATTGGTAGTAATTGAGAATTGTAATGATAAAAATTAACTTGAGGCTGGGCATGGTGGCATGCCTGTAATCCCAGCACTTTGGAAGCCTGAGGAGGGCAGATCACTTAAGTCTAGGAGTTCAAGACCAGCCTGGGCAATGTAGCAAGACCACATCTCTACAAAAAATTTAAAGTACTGGCATACACCTGTAGTACCAGGTACTCAGAAGGCTAAGGTAGAATGATCGCTTGAGCTCAGGAAGTTCAGGCTGCAGTGAGCTGTGATAATGCCATTGCACTCCAGCCTGAGTGACAGAGCGAGACCTTGTATCAAAAAATAAAGTGAAATAAAATAAATTTTAAAAATTAAAAAATTAACTTCAGAGATCAGCTAATCTTTTTTGTTAAAATAGTAGCACATAAATCTGTTTACATACAGATGAGCTTCTAACCTATTATACTCTTCTAAATTTTTTAAACATGTTTTTGGATTATTAGTGTAGTTACGTTCATTAACTAGAACAAGTTTTAAGAATGTCCTTCCCCATCCTCTGCTACATATCTTTTAAAGATTCTTTTTGCCTCTACATTTCTCTGTCCTCCACATTTTTCACCTCTATTCTGCATAATGTATTTTTAGGAGGTTTCCAAGTTAGACCTTCTGAGAGTATCCTTCCAGGTTTTGTCTGGATGATTATTATTTCCCTAATTATTGAGTCATATGAAAAATAATAATTTTAGTTTCTTAAATTTTGAAGACTCTGAAATATTTTTACTTTGCCTTTGGATTTTTATTTATAAGAAGACTAATATTATTTTACCTTTCCTAATAAATCATTTGAGATGCTAGTGTTATATAGAGAGAAATAATTTAAAATAATCTTTTCTGAAAGCTAATGGCTACAGAGTGAAATATCAGTTACCAGGTTGGTTGAGTAGGCTTCTCTCTAATTGTTATAATTTGAACTTCTCTAAGAGATTACTATATTTTGTTGGCAGACAAATGTTTTCTTATTAAAATCATTTATACACAAAAATGAAAAATGCCATCATTTTTTACTTTAGAAAAATGCTTTAACACAGGGAAAACTTCTAAAAATACTTTTCAGTATTTTCATTTACAATTACATTTACAGAAGAAGTATCATTTACAGTTAGTTTGTATAGTTATAAATTGTTCTTATCTAGTCATTAGAGAGCATCTTTTATAAACATGAGAGGATTTCTTTCATTCTATAGTGACCAGCTGAACAAACTCTCCCACATTTCACAAATGATTCATTCTCAGATGCAATATAATTTGAATAGAATGTTGTTTTATTTGCACAAGCCAAATCTTTTAACTTGAGAGAAGAATATTACAGTTCAAATTAAGCAGTGAATATTTAACATATTAATACTATGTTATTTTAGAAAAATTTATAACTTTAGAAGAAAGTGTTCTTTTAATAAATATGTAAATTCTAAGCAAAAGACAAGCAGACTTTTATCACCATTAAATCTGTAGTGGTAACATACATAACTTGGTATTTAATGTTTAGACATCAGAACCTTCCTCTCCCCTCATTTTGTCTCCACTAAGTTTTCTCTTGTCTTAAATTGCCATAGGAAAAAAGACACCTAAATGTTGTACAAAGTAGGTACCCAGTGGTTGTTGACTTAATAATATAGCTTAATTTATTGTATGACTTAATTTCCTTTTTCACTCTTCATCTTACACTTTGATTTAATTATTGTTACCATGTTTCTGAGAGTAGGAGTAGAATATTGATGCTAAGGAATGTGGTAGACATATCCACTCACAGATGTCCTGGTGACTTGTAGTTCCATTCTGATCTCTGTCTAGTTTGTACTGAGTTTTTTAAGGAAAAAAAAAAAGAAATCTTCCCATACCTCAGTTTCCCCAACTGTGAAAAGGTAAGTCAAACTTAGCCTCCCAGGCCCAAGCAAATTCTTACATTCTTTGGGTTTTGCCATTTTCAGTAAGGTGGTAATAATTTTAACTTTACACACAACCGTAATGTGCATGCTGCTAAGTGATTTAATCAGGATTATCCTTGGATAATATTAACCAGCCTTTTTAAGGGGTGTTTTGCAACTCACAGTTAGCTGCTTTACATTTTAATTGTAACTTATGAAAACTTTCCCCAAAGTTTGAAGGGATCCTACAATCTTTTTCTATTTGAAGATAGTAAAAAGCCTTATTATACTTATTCATATAACCCCTTTCTGCAATAAGGTATAATAGACAAGATATTTAGGATGAATTAACAAACATTAGTTGAAATGTGAGAACAAAGAAAAGAAGAAAACAAATACACTTACCAAAAAGTCACTATGATTGCTTTTGGTGTGCTTCATGTTTAGTTGTGAGCTAATATAGCCAGGACAAAAACAAAAACAATTTTAGTTTCATAATTTGTATTACAAAAAGGAGAATGTGTATTAGTTCCCCTGAGGAAGCAGTTTTTCCTGATGTCATATTATAAAATAAACTTTTTATGCATCATTATATAGAGTACGTATATTTTTTAATCTGATTTATTTCTTGCTTTTTCATTTTGTTATTGTTGGTTGTGTTTGTTTTCCTAACTTAGGGGAAGCAGAATTATTCCTAGTACCTACATTCCTGACCATGCGTATTGTTAATTGAATATATACTCAAAAATAATTGTTGATAATAATTAATTTCACAAGTAAATAAACTTAGGTTTTGGTTTTAAAAAACAAATTTATTATTTCTTACAATCTTGCTATCTTGGGTAGCATAGTTCTAAGATACAATGCCCTTAACTTTCTTTATTCATGTTAGTACTTAACACATTTTATTATAATTTCTTTATATGACATCTCCCCAAATAGTCACTTTACTGTGGACTCTACTAGGTCAGGAATCCTATCTAATTCATTTGTAACTCTAATGCTACCCCATTGCCTGTGCATAATAAAGTATTCAGTAAATATTTTCATGAATGAATAAAATTGACTTTAAGTATTTTCTCTCTCTTTTTTATAATTCAGAATTATGGCTTGGAAACAGAAAATCTAAAAACCCTTTCTCACAAGTTGAATGCATCTGCCAAAAATCTACAGAATTTTATAACAGGAAGGAGAAGGAGTGGCCATTATGATGGGAGGACCAGCCGAAAATTGCCAAACGACTTTCTGACCTCAGTTGTGGATCTGATTGGAGCAGCCAAGAGTCTGCTTGCATGGTTGGACAGGTAAAGTCTTCCACATGTTTCATAAGTGTCCTCTCCTCAGACACCAGTTTGAATATAACATTATTTTGCATTTTCTTGTGAAAGGATTGGACAGGCAGAGGAGTACCAATTAATAAATGTCTAATGATGATTTAGACATTTAGATTTAGTACCCCACAATATAGGGGTATCAAACAGATATTAATCCTTTATAAAATTTGATATCCAACTAAGTAGCCAATCAATAATTAGTCCGACAACTGTAAAATACCTTACTGCTTTATAAGCAAAATCATTATTTGGCTGTCATAATAAAATTTATAAATTTTTGTTTATTATACTACTGCTTTGTATCCTGATGTTCTTTATACATATTAATTGGTTGTACTTAAGGAAATGACCATGGGGATGCCATAAACTGTTTTAAATAGGTAATTAGACACTGACACCTTCCTAGCATGCCTTGTGTGTCTCCTTGGCCTCACTTCATTCGTTCTCTGTTATTAATTACATTGTACTATTTTGGATATCATAAACACACTTTTAGACTTTTTTAAGTTTAGGTGACTTTCATTTGTTTTGGAACATGTAAAATAGTATAAAAGTCTTGTAATATGAAATGGAAAGGTTAGATTTACATTGTATACTGTATGTGGTTAAACATTATAATGTTAAGACACATTGCAACTGTTTATTAAAAAACTAAATTTCTCTTCTTTCAGTTTTGGAATTTTTGGTAAGGGGTATGTACTATGTTTAATGGCTAAATAATCAAATTTTAAAAATGCTCTTTGTCTCTCATAAGAAACTCTGATAATATACATTATCAGAATTCTTTCTTGAATAAATGTCAGTAGGATATCCATATGTGTTCCTACACACACACACACACACACACACATATACATACACCAGTATTACATTTTGGCATTTTAGAAACATGAGGCCTTATATTAAAAGTAAAGCTTTTGCATTTTTAAGGTGAAAATTGAGATAATTTTCCTTAATTTTATATATACTTATACATAATATAAAGTGATGATACTAAATCCAAATATGAAACACTAAACTATATATTACTAGCTTTTTGATAATTAATGGACTGCATGTTTCTTTTGCATTATAACATTATTAAAATGTAATTTTCATAATTGTCTAAACCACATTATCAAGTGTTTAAATTAATTGAATTTTAAATATATACATTCCAAAAGTTATGAATGGTCACTAAGTAAAATATGGCTTAGTCCTTAAATACTATTAATATGTTTGTTTTGGTAGACTTCACAGTAATCAGAAGGCTTAAAGAACACATCCTTGATTATAATTATATCTTCTTTTACTCTCATTTTCCCTATAATTATAAATTTGCCCAGCCTTGATATTTTCATTTAGTAAATTCATTTATATATTTTTTACCCTAGTATTTGTTAGATGGATAAATTGTTAGAGTGAATAGAGAATGTTTTTACTTCTTGATGACAGATATGGCTATTTATAAAATCACACATTTCCCACACTATAGTAGTCCTTGAGATTTTATTGTACCAATTTTTTTATGGTGGCATTACTTTCATTATGTAATAAAATGCTTTTGGTAAGTGCCAAATCACCTACAAAACACATATGTGCATACACACCTACAAAAACACATAAACACACACACAGTGTGTCAGTGCAGATTTGCTTTAATTTGGGGGACTTAAAATGAACCCTGCAAATGAATACTGCCAAGCATTTGATCTTTAACTTTAGTTTATTCCTTCGATATACAGTACTTTAGTTGAAGAATAAAAATTTTGCCTGTTAAATAGGATTAATTTCATGTTAAGCAGCTGTTTTCATTTTTAAACAGCTATAAGTTTTATGGCATTACAAAATTTTTATTACATTTTGGAGAAAATGTGCATCCACAGCAATATGATTTGGGTTTATTACAGTTTTTATTTTATGTCACTTGAAAGAGGAGAAAGAAAAATAAAAAATAGGTACAAAATTTAATTTTATTCTAGATGCTGAACTAGATGCTTTATACATACATATGTATACTCTCGGCTCATTGAATTCTCACAAAGCAGATATCGTTATCTCCATTTTACATATGAAATGTGAAATAACTTGCCTAAAGTCATTCATCTAGTATGAAAGTTATACTTTGAATCAATTTTTGTCTGACACTGAAGTCCTGTTATTTTTTCGTTCATGTTCCTTTGTCATGCTACACCTTGTTTTGAATGCTGACTAATTCTTGAGAATTTTGAGGAAGGGATGTGGCATATAAACCTTTATTTACATTTTGCTATTTATCTTCAAAAGCTAAATAAGACTACCGCTTTTCTGTTTTGGGCCTCAGTATCTGAAATTGCTACATAGAACTTCATTAATAGAAAAGGTTTATTTTGCTGTTTATGGTAAAAGTTTACTGTTTTATCTCATTTTTAACATTAATATTTAATTCTAATTGTTTCTAAAATACCTTTCAAGATTATTCTGTTTTAAAGGGATCAATGAGATTTTTTTTTTATATCATTGAAAAACCTTTAAGTGTTTAAGGCATAATAGTGTGCTAGGAAAATAATATCAATGGAGCTTCCATTTAAGTGAGATATACTTTCAAAGACCAGCTCCTTACATTTCCTAAATAAGATAAAATCTAAGGTTAACACAATTCCGTTTCTTTTCTCCAATTTAAAATATTGATTTCAGTGAAACACCAGACTTTCCCAGAGGAATAGTCTCAGAGGTGAATCACAGTTGGTAGCTTTACTGTTTATTTTCAATGCATGGTTTACTTGTCTATTTTTAACCTACATCCTACTGTTTTTGACACCTTATATTTCTTGCAGTTTTCTGTGGCAAGTTGTTAATTGCTCAAGGTAAATACTTGAGAAAATAAGAGTTTTTAGGACTTATTGATCTGGGATTTGTGTTTTAAATGCTTAGAGCACAAATTTGTAAATATTGTTTAGAAAGATTACAAAATTTTGTTAAAATGAATAGCCCAGAAGTAACTTTTAGTTTCATTAAGGAAACTAATGAACACACGCTACTTGTTTTAGATATAGTGAAAATACCTTGTAAGAACCAAAGAACTTCTAAATAATTAAGAACTTTAAAAAGAGAGAAATTTGGTAGAAAGCAAACATTATATTTCCTGAATTTAATGCTCTTCCAATCATTTCTTTCAAAACTTTCCTTGAAATAAGTCCTGAATATTTTTGTCAGTATGCAAATTTCAGAACAACTTATTTCATATTATTGAAAAACTCATTTTAGGCTACTATATTTTGGGACTTTTCAAAAGCTGTTACTAGTAATCACAATTTTCCTTTTCCCTTTTTAGGTCACCATTTGCTGCTGTGACAGACTATTCAGTTACAAGAAATAATGTCATACAACTCTGCCTGGAGTTAACAACAATTGTGCAACAGGTATTAGCTGACAAACTTTCCTTCTGTTAATTTATTAGCAACTTCATATTCCAACAATGGGAAGTATCCTGTGTACCAAGAGTTTGTAAGATACTGGTTTAGAAGTTTCTCAAAGACAATCGTTCTAAAGAAATGAAATGTGTAATTATTTATTGGGAAACTATGCATATAGCTCAGTTAACTTACCAGAAGATATAAAAGGTACCTGACCTGTACACATACAAACAAATGTGTCTAATAGCTTTTAACAATGATCTAATTACCTGAACTGATTTTCCACTTCGAATATTATCTAAGCCAGGGATCCCCACACCAGATGCCTTCAGGGTCCAGCAGCTAATATAAATGTTTGAATTAAGTCTGGTATAAGGCAAGGAGAAATGGAAGAGACTTGGTTGAATTGACTAGAACATACCCAAACATATCTTTTAGAGGAAATGTAATTATAGGCATGATATATCAGTGGTTGTAAATTATCTCTTAAATAATCTGTTCTTTTTCTACTGTGATGTGATGATATCTCTTTTCAGTAGCAAGTTTTTCTGGACTCTGTGGTCTCTTGCTACCTGTAGTAGCAAGAAGAATAAGGATTAATAGGTAAAATAATGAAATAAAATAGTTAAGTGTTTATTTCTTTATGGCGAAGCTATGGGTGATTTTATTTAGACTCTACTTTTCTATATTTTCCAAATGAATTTTTATTTTCTAAAATGAATTTGAGTTATCAAAAAAACAAAAGAGTGTTAAGTACATTGAAGAAATACCTCTTTAAGTTTGCCAAAGGAACACAGCTTAGACGAATACTTAAATTTTACTTTAAAATAAATTACCTAGCTTACAAACAGTTAATGTTCATCTAATCATCTAATTCAGCCATTATATACATACTAATCACTGCATTTGATTGGAATTGTATGAAGTGTCTGAAGACAGGAATTAAACTTAAGCTGCCAGTAAAAGAGGCCAATTTGAATAAGCAAGGTGTAGACTTTAAAAAAAATCTAGGGCATGCATTTATTACCAGGCTTTCAAGAAATCTCATCTGAACAGTTATGATGATGGTTATGCTTTGAAATATGCTGTGCTTCAAATTATTTTTCACTCAGCTTTAATTATTTTTATTCCCTTTGCAGCAAGATGAGATAATCAATATCTAAAAATAAACTATCACAAATGGCTTTTTTCCCCTTTCTAACACAAAGTGGTGGTACTATGAAGTAAAAGGAAAGTGCTTCTTGATATTAGCCGCTTATATTTAAAATAATACTAAAATTGGAGAAAGTTAATGTCAGTTTCTTTTGAAAACCTCCATTTGCAGGAATTTGTTTAATCTACTATATTTATTTTACTTATTCCCAGTTGTGATGGGTTTGGATCATTGTATTTGAAGCCTTTTAAAGAGATTTCTCCTCCCCTCCCCAACACTTTCGTCACATAAGATTGGTTATAACGACACTTTTGGAAAAAAAAGAGAAACTGGTTTTAAAATCTTAAATAGAATTCTCACAAAGAACTGAAGCTTCATTTAGAACACTGTCAGCAACTGAATCAGAACAATGAGACAGGTACCCACACGCTACTTGTCAGCATTGAAATAATTGTCGTGATGCCTTCCTTAATGGATATCAACTTAACCTAAAATTATTCTACTGTACCATTTTTATGTTCTCTACTTCAAACACAAAAATGGTGAATTAGATTGTCACTAGTTAAGAAATAAGCACAAAAGTGTTGGTTTGCAAGATGAAACTTTGTTGAAGTTTAAAATACATAGGTCATGGTGGTAATCTTGGAGGATTTGAGACTCAGCCCTGTTGTTTCGTGATGATTCCACATTGGACAAACTGTGTCATTGCTTTCACCCTCTGTAAACAAAAGTAATCACATCTACCTCAAAGTTTTTGTAAGAATCAAATGAGATTTATTTTAAAATAGTTAAGACTTGGAATCAACCTAAATGCCCATCAATAGTAGACTAGATAAAGAAAATGTATATATACACCATGGAATACTGTGCAACCCTAAAAAAGAATGAGATCATGTCCTTTGCAGCAACACGGATGGAGCTGGAGGTCATTATCCTAAGCAAACTTAACACAGGGACAGAAAACCAAATACCATTATCTTCTCACTTGTAAGTGGGAGCTAAACATTGAGTACACATGGACACAAGGGAACAACAGGTACTGGGGTCTACTCGAGGGTGGAGGGTGGGAGGAGGGTGGGGATTGAAAAACTACCTTTCGGGTACTATGCTCATTACGTAGGTGATGAAATCTATACAGCAAACCCCATGATACCCAATTTACTTATATAACAAACCTGCACATGTACCCCTGAACCTAAAATAAAAGTTGAAAAAGTAAAATAAAATAAAAATAACTGATGAATGTAAAGTGAAAAACAAAGATGAAAGTAATATTATTTACAAAAAATGGGTAAGGAATAAAGAGACTTGATAAAAGGAAGTGAAACAGGAACTTTGTTTTGAAAAATAAATGTCAGAGATTTTTTTCTCCGTTTGGTGTTAGTTTTCATGAGCTGCATTTACGGTGAAATCTGAATTAGGTGCTGAGGGAAAAATTCAAACATGTTGAAGAACATTTTAAATCAGATTTTGAAATGTTAAATACAGAGTCTTCTTAATACTCAAGTTTTGACAATATGCTTTTTACCTGAACTGGTCCTCTCTAAACTGTATTTATTAAAAATCTTTTTCTGCTTGCTTATGGGTCTGTTCATTTCTAACCTTCTTAGATCCATTTTCCATGTTATTGGTTATCACTGGTTGTCTGAATAGTGTTAAAAACATTTTACAAAAAACTATAAGTAAGAATATTTACAATAATCCAATCTGAATTATGCAGAAACAATTAGTGCTGTTGCTTTGGTCTTTCCTGTAATAAATGTCTTTACTTAAGTTGTTATTCTGACTTTCTGTCAGTTCTTTTGTTTTACTTTGTTCCATATTTACCTGTCAGATGTATTTTATTTTCTAAACCTTTATTCAATTAAATGGAAAAATATTCTTTGAAGATCAGTATTAAAATGTTTATTTTTGATGGACAGCCTCCTTTAAATTATGTGTATGTGCTTTCTATTCACTTGTGTTACCTTTATAATATTTTAAATATAGAAAATAAAAGTAAACAATTTATGAAACATCCTCTAAATCTGCATCTTAAAATAAAGATATAAATGAACATATTGAGTATATAGCCCTTTTAAAATATATTCCTGCTCAAATGTAATTTAACCATTTTATCTATTTTATCTTAATCAAGTTGTTAATTGCTCAAGGTAAATACTTGAGAAAATAAGAGTTTTTAGGACTTATTGATCTGGGATTTGTGTTTTAAATGCTTAGAGCACAAATTTGTAAATACTGTTTAGAAAGATTACAAAATTTTGTTAAAATGAATAGCCCAGAAGTAACTGTTAGTTTCATTAAGGATTTATTCAAGGAAATTTAGCTTGCAGTTTTATTGATTTTATATATATTATATTTTACTTAATTACATTCATGTGTATGAATAGTACTTCATTTACCTTCTTAGTTGACATTTCATATAATTAACTTTCATAATTTATGACAAAACAGTGTAGTGGGCTTTGACATGAAGTAGATCCAAGTTCATCATCCTGGCTTTGCTTTTCAACAAACAGTATAAACTTGGCCAAATTACTTCATATCTCTGATATTATTTTTCTTTTTCTGTAAAAGTGGATCCCTACCATTTTTAGATTATTGTTGAACTGTTGTAAATATTTGAAACTGATTTAGCCCACCATCTGGCATATAGTGGGAGCTTAATAAATGGCCACTCAAGTTATTTTATGTAACAAAGGAGCCTTTGGAAATGCTAAACTCAGCTAGTTTCTTGCTCCACAGAAAATTTCAAGGAGTGATGCTCTGCTTACTTTTGGTATTGAGTGGCAATGAAGAAAGATCTCATTTCTAAAATGAGAGATTTTTTTTAAAAAAAGGATTTTGGTATAATTCAGAATGTTCTTTAGATTTTAATGCAAATTCATTACTGTGCTTCATTTTCTGCAAGATATGTTTAAACATTCATGTTCAAATGTAATGCAGAAATTAATTTTGATTACCCAGGGATATATCATCTCTATTCACACATTCAAGTTCAAGTAGTAGATACACGTAAAGGTGTAAAATGGGGATATAAATTATGCTGGAGTAGGCAAGGTATATATTCTATCATTAATACGGTAAGTGTTGAAAGCATATGAAAAGCCTGTCCAGGATGGTCTTACAGATGTTTAAAACACAACTTTAAATACTATTTTTACTATGTACTCAGAGTTAGTGTTTAAACCTTCCTGAATCAGACATTCTAGGTGACCTGAAAATTTTACTGGGGCTCTTGAGACTGAAACTGGGACATTTCAGACCAAAAAACAGGACAAGCTTTATATGCATTTTTAAAACAATGTGGATTATATTAGCATACTCAATGAAGGCAATATAAAAGGTGATTCTGTTTTTTCACTTTTTTCTTTTATTTTTAGTTGACACATAATTGTATATATTTATGGAGTACAGAGTCATATTTCAGTACATGTATACAATCTGTAATGATCAAATCAGGGTAGTTAGCCTATCCATCATCTCAAATATTTATCACTTCTTTAGGGTGGGAACATTCAAAATCCTCTTTTCCAGCTTTTTGAAAATATACAATAAATTATTGGTAACTATATTCGTTCTACAGTGCTATAGAACACTAGAATTTGTTCCTCCCATCTAGCTGTAATTTTGTATCTATTAACTTATCTCTCCCTATCCCCTCCTCTCTCCTACCCTTCCCAACATCTAATAATCACGGTCTACTCTCTACTTCTATGAGCTCAATTTTTTTAGCTTTTGCATATGAGTGAAAACATGTAATATTTATCTTTCTGTGCCTGACTTATTTCACTTAACATAATGTCCTTTAGACTCATCCATGTTGCTGTGAATTATAGGATTTAATTCTTTT